AGTAGCCAAGAGGTAGAAGCAAGTCCAATGTTTATCCACGAGTTGTGAGATAACTAAAATATATTACATACATACAATGAACTACTATCCTGCCTTCAAAGGAAGGAAAACACTACACATACTACAAATGGATGGGCCTTGACCTAATGCTAAGTGAAAAGCCAGTCACTGAGAGACTAATTCTATATAACTCCATTACACAACATACGTAACATGGTCAAATTCAGGGACATAGAAAGGAAAATGCTGGTTGCCAAGGGCTGAGCGACAGTGACAGAATGAAGACAAATGGGCAGCATGGAGCTTCAATTTTAAAGAGGAAAGAGTTCATTGACTTGTTTCACAAAATTGCAAATATCCTTAATACTACCGCATCCTTCCTCCCCCCCGCCATTCCCTCTCCCACTTAGGCTAGTGCTCTACCACTTGAGCCACAGGTCTACTTTTGGCTTTTTTGGGTTGGGGAGGTGGTTAGTTGGAATAAAGAGTCTCTTAGATTTGTCTGCCTGTGCTTCCCAGGCACAGGGAGATCTGAGGCCCCCAGATCACAGCCTCCTGAATACCTGGTATTACAGGTGAGAGCCACCAAATCCTGGAGCAAATTTCTATTTATACATATTATTCTATTTTATATCACAATAGCAATTCACAGCTGGCGGTCTATGATAATTACCAGCAGTAGTTTTAGAAAACATTGGATTCTCAGATGACACCTGAGAGATGACATCAGAAAGCTTCTGATTCTGTTAGGTTGGGGTGTAGTTTCGGCATCTGTATTTTAAAACCTACCCTCACTGCTTTTCACATGTAGGCAGGGGTTGGGAACTGCTGGCTGTCAGATAATTATAAACTGATTTATGGAAAAAATGGTTGGGCTTTGTTTTTCTGGTTTAGGGCATGATTCCTTGGGTGTTAAATAAGGTGGTATAGACAGAGCTTTGTGCCAGGTGCTGATGGCTCATGCCTGAAATCTACTTAGGAGGCTGAAAACTGAGTATTGTAGTTCTTAGCCATCCCAGGCAAACAAATCTAAGATACTCTTATTGCCAATTAACCATCAAAAAGCCATAAGTGGAGGTATGGCTCAAGTGACAGTATCCCAGCCTTAAGCAAAAAAGCTAAGAGACAATGACCCAGGCCCTGAGTTCAAGCCCCAGTACGGGCACAAAAACCCAAACCCCAAACAAACAACACCTTCTCTCTTGACCCCTGCCAGCTTTATGACCTTGAGGTTTGGAAAGCTGCTTACGTTTGCTTGTTTAGTTAGCCTGTGTCCTGCCTTAATGGAGTTTCTTGTTTGCCTATCATTTTCTAGCTTTTCCAGGTATCATTATTGTTTTGGGTGACAAACAGGTCTGGGCCTGTTTGTTATCTGAGCCAATCTGTCACTGAACCTTTGCACATTCTAGAACTATCTGTGCTGCTTTGTGGGCTGTGAGGTCTTTTACTCCCTGCTTCCTACTGATCTTTGCTGAGTAGTGGCTCTGCTGTTTACTTTCCTTGCTGGCCTGTTGAGGCTTTCCCTGAAAGGCCCCAGGCTTTTGCTGGCCAGGACAGATGTTTTCCACATCTGGTCCCTCTCCTCAGTGTGAACTCAGTCAGTAACAGATTCTTCCATTACTCCAATCAGGCCACAGCAGCTCCACATTAAGCCAGAGCCCAGCTATCAACTAGGAACCTGTTACTCTGATTAGACTATTGTGAAGGGAAAGCATGTGTGAGGAACAAATGGGCGAGTCAGAGGCTTGATTCAGGACTTTCACAGCTCCTTGGTAGCCTCCCAGGCCCTGGGGTTCACATGTCTGTGTAGCTCACTATCAAATTATGAGGAATCCAGTGGAAGTCTGTAAACTGGATGGACCCGGACATGGGATGTTTCAGGTATGAACACACATAGCAGCAGTAATGTGGAAGTGACACAGAATTGCTGGAACCAGCCTGTAGAAATGGGAAGCAGGCTGGCCAGGTGGGTTCCATGCCCAGGTTTCCTGTCCGCTCTCCAGCTTCTGGACTTGGTTTCCTAACCTGTCGGGGGAGGGACTGAGCTTCAGTGTGCATGTGAGACACGGGAATTGGTTCAAATGCATCTTGTGATTGATCCAGACATATTTCCATAACACTGCTAAGCCTTCCCCTGTTCTTTGTCCATGGGTTGGCAAGGTTCTTGAGGATCCCTAGATCTTTACAAGTCTATGGCCCTGATAGGTGACTTGTCTTAGTTAGGCCTTGGCTAGTGTCTCCTTGATATGTTCTCTCCCTCTCCCCACCCCTCTCCGACCCTTCCATCCATGTCAGTTCTTCTGATTTGAGTTAGGTGAGGTAGCAGCTTATAGCCTAGGCTCATTCATCTTCCAAAATGTGGTCTTTCCACAGTTTCTTCTTTCTAGCGAGCCCTAGCTGTCTAGTGGCTGCTTCTCTGTTTGGTCAACCTGGTTTTCTAGTATAGTTTCCATTCCTTGGTATGTTTCCTTGAACACCTGGCTAGATCACAGATGATATTTGTTCACCCAACCCAATGTGTTCTCGCTCTTGGGTGGCATTTAGGAACATCCACTAGATTGATTCTTATGTGGGAAATCATAAACTAGTGTAGCTAAAACAAGCCAACTACATCTCACTTCAAAAAAGTCTTTATTAGTCTTTCCTTCTGCCATGAAAAAAGTGGTCTTTAGCAAGCATACTATCTCTTAAATAAAAGTAACTCAGGGGCTGGGAAGGTGGCTCAGTGGTAGAGCGCTTGCCTTGCATGCATGAGGCCCTGGGTTCAATTCCTCAGCACCACATAAGCAAAAAGAAAAAAAGCCAGAAGTGGCGCTGTGGCTCAAGAGCTGAGGGACAGCGCCCAGGCCCAGAGTTCAAGCCCCACGACCGGACCCCCCCCCAAAAAAAAGTAACTCAGAAGGTTAAGTTTTTTATTTTTCCCTAAGATATTTGATTTTAACATAGTTTAACATTATTTTAGCATAGCCACATTATTGAGGATTTAACTCAACTGATATTAATCTTACATGTGACACGGATAGTTGTGGGGATTTAAATGGATAGAGCATTGAGGTATTTTGCTTAAGAGAAAGACTTCCAAATTATAAATACATATTCCCACAGGCTCTCTGGTTAGGGGGTGGGCCAGTGACAGCGCCTGCGCTGGGTGTGCTGGGTGTACAGTAATCTTGAATGAATGCCAAGGTCTAGAACTTCATGCTACCACAAGGTGGCAGTAGAGGATGAAAGATGGGAAGCAGCTCCTAGCCCTTCTGTTTTGTTTTGAGCCTCAGCAGAACGTTTGCAAGACACTTAAAATTGCACTGTGCTTCGGAATCTCTTTTGTCATTTTCTTTCAGCAAGGCAGTCTGACTTCCTTCACCCCCCACTCCCCACCCCGACTTTGAAGTATTACAGACACTTGTCACACAGTCTGTGCAAGCGAAGAAATGGATACAACACAGTTCATGCCTTCAACTTTGTGGAAATAAACTTTGCCTCCTCTTTTACGGTACTTATAAAAATTGCATTTATTATAAAGCAAGAAAAAAGTGAGCTTCATCACTTCTCCCAGGAGTGATTTTAGTGAGCTTTGGCTTTACTATTGGTTTCATAACCATGTTAGGTTTATTTACATCTATCTTATAGCCACAGAACCATATCCCTTTACTCCTCAATATTTAAGAGTTCTTAAAACATTTCTCATGGTAATTAAGGTCACCCTTGTATAGCATAAAGGAATGTCCTATCAAGTGACCCAGTTATTTGTCTCATGCAAGTGGACCTACACTGATGTTTTTTTCTTCTTCCAAGTCACTTTTTTTTTTTAATTCCATTAGTAGACATCATGTGGGTGTTGGTAGCTTGTGACCCAAGTCCTAGGTTTAAAGGGCATGGAATGGCATTGTATTTCCACACCAGTCTTTCATGATGATAGGCACAGCCTTTGACTAAAAATTGTCCTTGGAATGTAAGCAGGGGTTGTTGTTTGCTTTGTAATCTTGTTTAGACTACACAAACTTACTTCTCCCTTATTTCTAAAATATCAATGCCCTTATCAACCAGGGCATTCGGCAAGGTTAGATTGGAGAATTAACATGGTAAATAGTCTCAAAGTTAAACATTCCCAAGTGCCAGCATAGAGCTGGGAATGGGTCAATTATGAAAATGCCACTTATTAGAAATTCAGCCTACAAACTACTGAATTTATCTGTGTTTCATCTCTGGTCTTCATGTGTGGTAGAGAATCACCCTCAGATTTCTGCTTTATAACAATGTAAACTTTATGTATGCCACAGTATACCAAGCACCTGATAGGTTTAAACTCAGGCTAGTTATTTGTACCATTAATGAAAATGCTGCAAAGGGAAAATTTTACAATCCCTGTCAAGAATAAAATTGAAATATAAAATTGGTATGCTAAAACTGAAAAATAAAATTAGTATGCTAGCCAAAGTAAATATTCTTATTACATATCTAATTAGAAAAACCCAGCCAACACCAATGATAATTCTGGAAAGGATTTGCAAATAGTTACTACCATTAAAACTTCTTTAAAAGCCTCTTTCGTGAGAAAGACCAGTAAAAGAACTTTTGTCCTATTAGCTAGCAAACAAACAAACAAAAAAATTAACCACCAAAGAGTCCTGTTAGAAAAAGAGAACAAACATCCAAGAATGATGCTCACAAGTCCCCCTCCCGCCCCAGAATGATTGATGCCCCTGTCATTAGCAGGGTAGCTGCCCATTTCTTATCTTGATTGACAGGTTAATAAGGAACCTGGGGCTATCTTTTCAGTATGAACATACAACCTTACCAATTACTTTTAAATTATTGCTAATCTGCCAGAAAATAACAAGCATAAAGGAATAAAAATCTGAACAAGAAATGTCTGCAGAAGTTATTATTTATTATTATTATTATTTTTCGCTTCTGGGGCTTTAAAAAGGTTCAGCTCACAAACCTTGCCAGAATTTAGTCAATAGAACTTTAGGCACTGAGGATTTTTTTAAAAAGAAAAATCTGTAGTTTATAATAGTTCATTGGTTCAATTAGGAGCAGCAAAAGAAGGGAGTTTTGTAATGCAATTGTCCGGCAAAGGAAAATGCTTTAAATTGGGGGATTATGTGTACAGACCACCTGTAGGGTTTTCAGAACGCTTTTTTTTTTTTTTTTTTTTAAATAGTCCTTCAACCCATGCCTAGCTGCCTGCAGGCTGGCTAACAATGCCAGGAAAGGCTGTTGAAAAGGCTGAGCGCACTTGTGCCTCTGGTCTTCACTAACTGTAACAAGTCTTCCTCTCCCTCGTTCTCTCTCCTTTTTAAAGTAAAAGTCCCACATTGCTTTAATGGAAGAACTTTAAGGCTCTGCGGTGGCCAATTGGTCTGCACCAAGAGGAGCCGGGCAGCAGGCAAAGAAACTTCAGACTATACAGCACATTTGGAGAGGAGAAAAGATCAAAGTTTTTCAAACTCAAAAGACCAAGTTCCCTACAGATTAACCCTATTCATTTAGCTCCTCTTAAAGGAATGATGTGCCGAGCCACTGGGCAGACAGGTAAAAAGTTCAACAATTGCCAAAGCATTCTTCGGCTAATTCAACAGCCTTCTGCTCAAATAAATTAGCTTAGTCTTGACAGAGGAACAATAGCTTTTTTTTTTTTCTTCAGGAAAAGAAGCACATTTGGTATACACAAGCATGGAAGGTTATTAAGATGTTAACCAGTTAGTTTAATTCATTAAGGAGTGCCTCCTCCACTACCAGATTGTCAAGTGACATACCCTGTAAAAAGAAATCTGTAGCTTAAAATGTGAAACCTTCACCTGCTAGCAGGTTTGTGTTCTTTCCTTGGAAAACCAAGTACTTTCAAAACCAGACTCCAGATGTGAGTGGTGGCATTTGCAAACTTTTAGTGAAATATTATACACGATAAATAACAAGGCCTAAGTGAAATTAACTGCCTTGGCCAAAGTTCCATTTACAAACACTAAGGTGCAAACAGCGCTATCATTAGAGACACCTACCATGGGGGTAGGTGCAAAAACTCCATTTTGATTTCAGTTCAACAATGATATTTACTTGGCTAACAGTTTAAGAAGTAGAGGTTAACAGGTAATTTTCTCCATGCCTGGTCAGGGTACAGAGTAGCAAACCACAAAATGTCCATTTCCCCCCACCTTCCTCAGCAAACGTTGCCAAGGTAACGGCTTAGAAGAGGCAGGGGGAGAGGGTTAATGTTGAAATCATTTATCAAAAGTCATTTTATTGACAAAATAGAATACTTATATCTGTTCTTACAGGGGTAGCCTCTAAACTTTTTACAAAAAAATGTACACGTTGTATATCTTTGGATATATACATATCTTACACACTTTTTACAATTTTAACAAATAATTATATAAATACATCCTCTAAGGTAAGAAACCCGTATTTACTTGGGGTGTATAATTAAGACATTTCTTGTTTATTTAAGGCATTTGCCTGGTCATTAAGAATACCCAAACCGTGCAATCCCATTAGGTCGCAGTCATGCCTCCACTTTAGATTCGCCAGGAGGAAGAGTTTATGTAGAAGAGAGGAAGGACAGAGAGAGAGAGGGAAGGGTTCCTCCGGTGAAATCTGATCTGGCTTCAAAGCTCGGCGAAGGGCAACCAGCCGAGTTCTGGGCTCCAAACCTCAGGTTCTGGAGACGCAGCAGAGTCCACGTTCCTCTGCCAAAGCCAGGCGCGGAAGGAGCTCCTCGGATATCAATGGAGGAAAAGGGACTGGAAGGCTGCAGTGCCAGGTACTTGGTTCTTAGCCAGTCGAAGTCCCAGCTAATGGATACCATTAAGAGTTCATTATCATGCTAATAGCAATCAACACGGTGCAGGGGTGGGAACCCCGGCTCGTCCAGGGTCCCTGCTCCTCCCTGGGTCTCCTCACCCCCCCTCCATCCCCGCCCCTTCCGGGCGCCTGCTCCCCCGCTGCTCAGACCTGGGACAATGGCATCTGCTTTGGATAAGACACGGAGCTGGCCGTGCCAGATCGCCACGTCAGGCCAGTGCTGACGTCGCTATAGAGCGAGCCCCCGCCGCCGCCCGGGCCCCCGCCGCCCGGCCCAGAGCCGCCGCCCCCCGCCCCGCCGCCCCCACCGGCCGCGGCGGCGCCCGCGCCCGCGCCCCCCGCGGCGCCCTTGCTGGCCCAGCAGCAGCGGGTGCACAGGGCGCGCCAGGACTCCAGCGTCTTGCCCGACCAGACCCACACGCCCGAGGTGATGCCCACCACGAGGCACATGAAGTACTTGAGCATGAAGACCGCGTAGTCGGGCCTGCGCGCCTGGTCCGGCTGCAGGTCCCGCAGGCACGGGCAGTTGTGCGTGGCCTCCCAGCGCGGGCGGTTGTGCTGCTCGTAGAAGAGGCAGGCGACCACGACGGCGGCGGGCACCGTGTAGAGCACGGTGAAGAGGCCCAGGCGGATCATGAGCTTCTCCAGCTTGTGTGTCTTGGTGGGGCCGCCCTGCTGCTTGATGACTGAACGGATGCGGAAGAGCGACACGAAGCCCGCCAGCAGGAACATGGTGCCGATGAAGAGGTAGATGACCAGCGGCGCCAGCACGAAGCCACGCAGGTTGTCGAGGCTCTGGTTGCCCACGTAACAGATCCCCGCCACCGGGTCGCCGTCCACGGAGCTGAGCGCCAGCACGGCGATGGACTTGACGCTGGGCACGAGCCACGCCGCCAGGTGGAAGTACTGCGAGTAGCCGGCGATGGCCTCGTTGCCCCACTTCATGCCCGCCGCCAGGAACCAGGTGAGCGACAGGATCACCCACCAGATGGAGCTGGCCATGCCGAAGAAGTAGACGAGCAGGAAGACCACGGTGCACAGCGCCGGCCCCGTGGTCTCGTAGCGCACGTGCTGCTCCACGGCGCCCAGCTCCTCGTACTCGCCGCGCCCGCCGGGGCCGCTCGCGCCCGCGCCCGCCGCGCCCGCGCCCGCCGCCGCCGCCGCCGCCGCGCCCCCTGCGGCCCCCGCGCCGCCCGCGCCCGGCGCGCCGCCGCTGCACGCCACCTTCTCGTGGCCGGCTACCAGGCGCACCAGGTAGCCGACGGACACGAAGAGGTAGCAGGCCGAGAGGAAGATGATAGGCCGCTCCGGGTACTTGAAGCGCTCCATGTCAATGAGGAAGGTGGAGACCGTGGCGAAGGTGGACACGAAGCAGAGCACCGACCACAGGCCGATCCAGAAGACGGTGAAGGCGCGCTCGTCCTGGCTAAAGAAGGGGTTGTGGCAGGGCAGCGCGCAGTTGGCGATCTGACCCGTCTTGACGCGGTTGTAGAGCGGGTGTCGCTCGCTGGACACGCTCACCATGGGCGCGCGGCACTGGCACCCCGGCTCGCAGGGAGCCGAGCCGCCGCCAGGGGGCCTGGCCTTCCCGCCGCCGCGCGCTGGGGGCGCCGCAGCGTCCCCGCCAGCCCCGCCCCGGCCGCCGCCGCCGCCGCGGTGAGGGGGCCTCGCCCCCGGAGGGCGGCCGAGGCCGCTGCCGGACGGAGGCTGCTCGCCCGGCGGCGGCGGCGGCAGGCGGCGCGGCGGGCTGGGTGCGGCCGTGGTGAGATCCGTGCGGTTGTAGTCCATGCACAGCGTGTCCGGGTTGCCCTGTTCTGGTAGCCGGTCGCAACGCATGCGGTCCGGCCAGGCGAAGCCGTACTGGCGCATGAGGGGCGCGCAGCCGGCCTTGGCGCGCTCGCACACGGACCGGCAGGGCGGCAGAGGTTTCTTGTAGTCTTCCAGACAGATGGGCGTGTACATGCTGCACAGAAAGAACTTGAGGTCGGGGGAACACTGGATCTCCACGAGCGGCCAGAACTGGTGCACCTCCAGGCCCGCCTCGTCCTGCGTGTCGTGGTTGAACTGGTTGGGCATGTAGGTGTAGTTGTACCCAATGCCCTTGCACAGGGGCACGGTGATCTCTTGGCACGCCAGTTCCTTGGCCGAGGCGGCCGCGGCACCGCTCGAGCGCTGCAGCAGCGCCAAGGCGGCCAGCAGTGAGGTCACTTCCAACAGGTAACCGCACTCCATACTGCGCGCCTCGGCCCGGGGCCCTGGCCCTCCAGGAGGCGCGCGAAGGGGCCCCAGGGGACCCGGCGATTTAACCCGGGAAGCGGAGCGACAGGCGCTCGCAAGTCTCCGCTGGCTTGGAGCTGGAGGGTGTGTGACTGCGCCTCCCAAATGCAGCCCCCAGCTCGGGGTGCGTCTGCGGCGGCGCGGCCGGAGCCCGGGCAAGGGTCTTCGGCACCTCCTCTCCGCGGTTCCGGGAAGACGACGGCGGCCGCGGGCGCGCGCCGCAGCCCCCGGGGGTCCGACCCTCACTCCGGGCCGCGCTCAGCCCCGGCGGAGCAGGGTGGCGGGCCCGCGGCTCATCGCGCGGCGCTCGCCGGCCTCCTCCCCCGCCCGCCCAGCCTCTTCTCCGCGTGGCGCCCAGCAGCGGTGACTTTGTCCGGCTCCGAGGGCGGCGCGCGGCAAGTTTCCTTTCGGATCGCAGAGTGCAGCCAAGATGGCTGGGCCAGGTTGCTGGCTGCGCCGGGCGGCCCCCGCGGGCCCCGCGGCCCCCGCGGCCCCCGGGGCTCAGGCTCGCTGTCCGGGCTGCGCCGCCACGGCGGGGGCTCCGGACCCTTCCTCGTTCGCCGAGTCCGCTGCTGCTTTCTCAGGCGTCCGCTCGCCTCTCGGACAAACGGATCTGCCCCCCGGTAAAAGTCCGCGTGGTACTTAGGCCAAGTCGCCCTTCTCCCTCGGCACCCGGGAGCTAATCCAAACCGAAAGGCGGAGAGGACACCGGAGCTGCACGACCCCGCGCCCAGCCGCCGCCACCACCTCGGCGGGAGCAGCACCCTGAGCCCAACTTCCCGGCTCCAGCCCAGCCAGCGACGCGCGGCCGGCTCATGAATATTTATACAGCCCAGATTCGGTCTCCGCCTCCCTCCCGCTCCTCCAATCAGCGGGCAGTGGGGCGGAGTCTGTGCGCTCCCAGGGCGCAGCCCTCCTTAAGGAAGTCCGTAGACTCGGGTTGGCAGAGCGCGCTTTCCCGCGGTTGTGGAGTTCTGGTAACCTTGGGATTGACCGTCGAGACCGAGCTCTTTTTTGCTCCGTCGGTCTCCACGGAGAGCGGTGCGTCTGCACGTGGGTACGGGGACGTGCCTGGCCGCGCGCGCCGCCTCCTAGCCGGTTTAAGTCAGTCCAGCCCCGGCCTACTGCCCTGTCCAGATAGGAGAAGCCCGGCGGCGCTGGGACCCCTCCCCGCGGGCCCGCGCGGCGAGGAGCCGCCGGGAGAGCCGAGCTGGGAGGCCCGCCCGGGTCCGGAGCTGTGCGGGACCCGGGGGGGGGGGCTGTCCCCCCGGGGCTCTCGCAGGAGCTGGGTTTGCGCCTTGGCGATGGGGGGGGGCGCCTCCGCGGGTTCCGGGCGCCGGGACTGGAGGGGGCGTCGTCCTGGTGAGCCCGCCCGCGCTCGCGGGGGCTTCCCCTCGGGGTCACCGTCACCGTGGCACAGATGCCTTCAGGGGCTTTTGATAAACTGGGCGAGGTGAAACGCCTACAGTCGCTGGACCCCGAGCTCTTGGTACCGGAGAAATCTAGCTCTTGTTGAAGAAGAGAAACTTCTCCCCGGAACCCCCTGGAAACTGCCGCTGCCTTCCCCGGCGGCGCTCCGTCCGTTCCCCCATCCGGAGTTCGCAGGGGTTTGCCAGCGCCTCTCCTTCCACCCGGGAGGCGGGGCTGCGCCCGGCGCGCCCGGCAGACACGTCCCCGCCTTCCGCACCCAGCCACCCGGCGCGGCCCCCGCCGGCTCCGCGGCGTCCACCTTAAGAAAGCTGGTGGGGGAGGGGGCAGAGGGAGGGGGCGGGGGTGGGGGGGCGGCGGCCGGGCAGGTTCATTTACGCTCGTTAGGACGTCCCAGGGGGTTGTCTTTCTCCCGGGAAGCAGTGTTTATTTTTTAATTGATGTGCTGTTTCATTTAGCGCTTGTATGGAACTCATGCTGGGGCTGTAATTACTGTAATCTCGGGAACAAGCGTTTCGGTGAACCAGGAGGGTGGCGGGACCGCTCTCTCTCTCTCTCTCTCTCTCTCTCTCTCTCTCTCTCTCTCTCTCCCTCCCCCTCTCCCTCCCCCCTTTCCCCTCTTTATCTCTCCCCCCTTCCCTTCCCTTTACCTCGCTCTTTTTGTCTCAGTACTATTCGGTACTATTTACTTCTTGTAAGTAGGACAGGGAACAAAAGTTGCCCGGGACCTGAGGGTAGAGAATGAGAGTCCGAGGCGCGTGGTAGGCCCGTCCAGGTGGGTTTATGGGGGTGTCGGGGTGTCGGTAGCCGGGTATCTGCTTTTAAAACAACTCTGTGGCAAAAAAAAAAAAAAAAAGTGATCCGGCCGCGGCGTTGTTGCTGGAGCGACCGGACCCTCCGTCTTCCTCCTCCGGTTTCCTCCCGCTTGGGTTGGCAGCCTCGTTAGTGAAAACACGTCTAGCAGACCGGCAGAAACGCCTCCCCTCCCGGTCCTAGGCGACGGTCTGGATTCTCGCCATTTTTAGGCATGTCCCTCAGGTGAATAATTAACAAAAAGACCAGTTTTTTTTTTTTTTAATTTAAATTTCAGTTCAGTTCGGACCTCTATCACGAAAGCAACACTTCCCACTTTTGTTTTGGAAAAAACGAAACTCCATGGGAATTTGAAACCCAAAACCTCAGTAATATTAACTGATTCAGCAGAAAGCGGACTCGGAGACAATGCGCACGCAGTCTGTACTTTGTTGGTGGTGCTGTTTACCCACGGATTCCTTCCCTCCTCCTCTAGGTCGGGATTTCTCTGTGTGGGTGTTGAAAGTAGAAAGTCACCAATCTCTCTAGTTCGTGTCTTGCTCTGGGCAAGCTGATCTGATGGCCTTTCCTCAGCAAGAAATTCCCACAGTGAAGAGTTCTGATCTGAGCACCCAGGTGAAGGCAAAGACCACTTAACACTGAGCACTGGCACTAGATACTAACACACAGAGAAGGCAAATGGGCGGAACTACGTCTCTAAAAGCAATACAGATGGGGGAACATTTCTGTTTTTCTTCAATATGGAAATGTCAGATGGTGAAATTTAGAATGACACCACATAAATGTACCCCAATTTGGTAAAAACTGACATTTGAGAAATTAAGCTTGGCTCTTTTAATTGGCATTATTTGTTTTTTCTCTTTGGTGGCAAAATGAGAAGTTTTCACATTGTGGGATGTTTTTTGGCTAAGTACATTTAACTTGGATAAAAAAACAAGCATACAGAATGTAAGAATTTTTAAAAATCAGGCGATTTGGAGGATATTACAGATTTGTTATTACATCACATAAAACCATGAAAATTTTACTCTGTGTGTGTGTGTGTGTGTGAATTCTAGGCTTGAGCTCAGACCTTGGGCCTGTTCCTGAGTTACTGTGCTCAGACTAACACTTGACCTACAGCTCCACTTCTGGTTTCCTGTTTTTTCTTTCTTTTTTCTTTTTTTTTGTGGTTAGAGATAAGAGCCTGGCAGGATTTTTTCTTGTCTGCATTGGCTTTGAACCTATCCTCAGATTTCAGCTTCCCAAGTAACTAGGTTTACAGTTTACAGGCCTGAGCCACTGCCACCTGGCCAAAAATAATTTACTTTCAATTGAGAAAATATGAAGGCCAGGCACCGGTGGCTCATGCCTGTAATCCTAGCTACTCAGGAGGTTGAGATCTGAGGATCGCAGTTCAAAGCCAGCCCTGGCAGGAAAGTTCGTGAGATGCTTATCTCCAATAAACCACTAGAAAACTGGATGTGGCACTGTGGCTCAAGTGGTAGAGCACTAGCCTTGAGCTGAAGAGCTGAGGGACAGCACCTAGGCCCAGAGTTCAAGCCCCACAACCACCACCAACAACAAAGAGAAAATATGATAATAGCTTTTTACATTTATTATTAAATAGTTAATTCATCTTTCAGCATAGAAGGAATAACATATAATAGGCAATTTTAGGTCAGCTAAGGCAAATCAGTATATATATATATATATAGTATGTAGGTATATGTATATATATGTATATGTAGGTATATATATATGTATATAGAGCTAAATAATGATTTTTTCTTTTTCCTTCCTTCCTTCTTTCCTTCCCTCCCCCTTCCTCCCCCCTCCTTCCCTCCCTCCCTCCTTCCTTCTTTCCTTCCTTCCTTCCTTTCCTTTCATCCTTCCTTCCTTCCTTCCCTCCCTCCCTCCTTCCCTCCCTCCCTCACCCTCTCTCTCTTTTGCTTTCTCCCTTTCTCTCTCTCTCTTTCTTGTTTGCCAGTTCTGGGGCTTGAACTCAGGAGCCTGGGTACTGTCCCTGAGCTTCTTTTGTTCAAGGCTAGCACTCTACCACTTGAGCCACAGTGCTACTTCTGGCTTTTTCTGTTTCTGTGATACTGAGGAATCGAACCTAGGACTTCATGAATGCAAAGCAAACACTGTACCACTAAGCCACATTCCCAGCCTATGGTACTTTCTTTGTATGTCAAATTGCTATATTTTAGTGAGGGGAAGTAGTTTTCATCATGACGTAAATAATATAGGAAAGTTGAAGAGATAGGTGAACTGATGTCTTAGTGTAGAATATCCTACAGGCATATTAATACAATCAAGTTTCTATTACTGTGACAAATACCTGAAACACTCAAGAGGAAAAAAGATTCATTTTTGACTCAGTTTAGGGAAGTTTCAGTCTATGGGAAGTTGGCCCCATTGCTTTTGAACCTGTGAAGTTGCTCCTGATGGTGGGATGTGCATTACTGGGTCTAGGCAAAGTTAAAGTGACAGAGATAGGCAGAATGCAGTGAGCGGACAGTGGGCTTTGCTTCAGGCAATCCTGGGGGAGTCTAGCTCAGCTGTTGGTCACCTGTGTGCACAGGTTACCTGCAATTTCTCTGAACTTCGCCTCCTCTTACTTAAGGGTAAAGGACAGGTTGAGCGTGTCCTTAAGTTGTGAAAGGTAGATGAGACCAGATCTGAGTAGCACCAGCTTGATTCCTGCATGACCTCTATAGACGCATTAAGACTCACAATGATATAGTCTGTCTCTCTCTTGTTGATGGTACTAGGGGATTGGATTTAGGGAGTCAAGTGCTTTAATGCTTGAGCCATGTTCTCTGTCATTTGACTTTGATTTTT